CTAATTAGTACTAAACACAAAGCATAGCTGCAGCCGATTGGAGTGTCATTCATTTTGGAAAGGAAATGATGGGTGTAGATGGAACGGATCACTGAAGTTCTAACAACATGAAGATGTATCCACTGCTCGTGGCACTAGAGAGGATTACTAAAGTTAGTAGGATACATCATCTGAACTGAACACAACTGTTGGTACCACATTTTGTGCCAAGGCATCCATAGATTTAGAGCTGTTTAAGGGAATAAGGGAACATTTGACCTGTGGGTGACACTGTTGAACACCAAAGTTAGGATTCATTAGGGGACCTTTAATGTCTAGTCAGATTTCATGGCAATCAATAACAAAAAGGTTTTACCTGTCTGAAACAGGACCAAAGGGGTGGGCTGACCAAACCTCTTTTATGAGACAGAATTTCCTGGAAACAAGGTGAGGTAAGACTAGCTTTACTGGTTATGTTGCTTTATAAAACACCTCTCTGAGCATATAAGTGACACAACAAAGTGCTAAATGGAAGAGATGATTGACAGAAATGGCTGGGAAATTACAGCACAGACAATTTTCCTCCAGCATGGTTTTGAAAACACCAGACGGTTGTAGTGTGTGTTTGTGATTGTAGTGTTATCACAATTTAACAGTGTCAGCTCTCACCAATGGCTATGACCCCCCCTTAAGCTTTGTAACTGATGACAAAACATTTTCACCCATTTACACTGTCTACTTCAAGTGCATGTTTTGTAGAAAAATAAAGTCTGTTACTCACTCAACAGCTCTCCGCTTAATGCTTTGCCTTTTCTGTTTTGAAAACTAAACGTGCAAATTGGTATATATATATCCCAGACTTTGGAGTTAATATATCACAGACTGACCAACAAATTATTATATATTATATATATATTATAAATATTTTCAGCAGAACTCATTACCATCATTATTGTTTTCGCCGTGATCTTTACTGGATGGAGAAAGTACAGCCATTAAAAAAAGTTTTGCGCAGATTCAGCAGCAGCTCTCAGAGGTTTGTTGTCTAAAGTAAAGGCAAACGCCCAAAGAAGATCTAATGATAGATATTTACTTTATGCTTTTAAGGATGGGTACAGAAGTGCAGTTTTATTGGCTCCTTGCTGTTATGGTAATGGACAAGCAGATAAATTGAACTAGCCTAGGAGAGGCTTTAATTAGAACAGCCATAATTAACACCTAGTAGAAGAAACAGGATATTGTATGATAATTATTATTAACTATAATATAAGTCAGTTTATATTGTAACTGCAGAGTTCATCAGTACACAACCAAGGTGCAGACACACAGGTTTTAACTCCATGTTTTAGATGTAGTATTTAAATTAAATCTGCAGCAAGTAACCTTTATAAAAATGACTTTTTGTCCGATCAGAGCCAAATCTCACCCCCAGCTTGGCATATACTGATGCTGGGAAGAGACTCAACAATCAGCTATCTTCAAGCCACCAAACCAAAGTGTATTTTTACGTTTGTCAGTTCTGATTGGCTGTTTTCTGTAGGGTTCAGTGGATTCTTGCAAATGCCATTAGGAGCACTCGGAGGAGACAGAAAAACCAGATTATCTGTCTCATGTGCTGCTGTCAGAGTAGTGAAAGTTGTTTTTTTATTACCTACTACAGTTGTGTAACACTCTAAGATGTATAGATGTTTAGTATTTAGCATGCTAAGCAGTAAGTAGCTAATACATATTATTTAATTAAGAAATATAGTTCATATGACAGAGCAGAAATGGAGTTGAAAATCGCTACTTAGCACAGGACAGGACTTCAGGTGCTAGGTAGGTTCTGTAATACAGGCAGGATTAGTACATTTTTTAATTTGTTTATTGTTTTTCTGTAGAATAATCAGTATACAGATGATCTAATGTACTCCATACTCCTACTACATACAGTAGGTTGTGATATAAACCTTTAAAGCTGGTCTGCCAATAAACACAAAGGAGACTGAAGTAATTCCTCCATTATCCTGTGGAGGGCAATGTGCTCAACTCCCTGCATTAAAGAATGAGAAAAAGAAGATCAGGGGGGCGGGGCTAATGTACTAGCCAATCCTATCTGACCTTCAGAAGAACGCACCAGCCGAGGCACACACATACTTTTAATGACAGCCAGGACACAGGACATAGTTGAACCTGAACTCTCGTAACGTTCTATCCAAAGTATCGGCACTGTACTCCTGCTCTGTTAACGCGACCTACTTCCTGTTTTTTTAATCTGTAAACAACAACATGGGCCGGAAAGTGACTGTAGCGACATGCTCGTTGAATCAGTGGGCTTTGGACTTTGAAGGCAACTTGGAAAGAATACTGAAGAGTAAGTCTAATGCCACTATTTCCCTTACTGCGAGGTGTAACAGTGACAACGATGTCGAGGTATTCCATTAAGACCGTCAAATAAATCCCCTTTTGTTGGGATATTTGTTAGTCACAATGGAATGGGAGCAGGCGCGGATCTAGAGGGGTGCATGGGGTGTCCACCCCCAGCTGCCACATCAGTTTGGTGTCAAATACTGTTCAATTTAACACACTAGATTAATAAAAAACAAACACATAGTTTAATGATGGCCACCCTTTCGACCAAATTATAGGCTTAAAGCAACAGCAGGTAACTTATAAAAATAACTTTTTGTCATATTTGCTGAAATTTTCACATCACAGTAGAAGATTAGATTAGATTATACTTTATTCATCCCACAATGGGGAAATTCACTCGTCACAGCAGCAAGTAAGTAATT